TCAAACAAACTATTATGGCAGCGAACATGACAAATTATTAACTGCAATGATGTAAACTTAGCTCCAAACATTTTAGAATAATATTGTTTATTTTATTTATTTATTTAAGACGTATCTGAACAGATCGCTTATTAGAATGGCTTTAGGGTCAAAACTTAGTAAAAGCTTTGGCTATATCTAATACAAGATGGCCTTTTGCTTTAGGGGAGTGAAAAGTAAATAAATATTTCAAGTATTGTATGGGATGACTATACCCTCAATGCAAATACCAGGCACCTCTAAAACTTCTAATCTGGTGGAAATAAACAAAAGCAGAGCTCAAAGCATTTTGTCAATTAGTCAATTTTACCTTTCAATTGTAAACTTAAGGAATATAGTTTGATTTTTCACAGTTAGATTATGATGAAACTCACCTTCTGAGTGTTTGTACAGTATGCTTGTATCAGTCCTTGCCTTTGTGTCGACTGAATATTTTCTCTTTCAACTTTTGTCTCTCAGTTTGATTTGAATGTGGTTGATTTCATTTAAACAAACTACTATGGCAGAAACACATGACACATGACAAATTATTAACTGCAAAGATGTAAAATAACCATAGAGCTTTTGTCAGATTTCCACACATTAATCTGCAGTATCAGTTGAATTTGTGTTTTAGATCTTTCATGTCATCTTTCATATGTTAGGGTTGAACTGGTAGTTCTGCTCTAGTTAAGTTATATTTTATTGTCTTACCTTTCCTGCCACTAAAATGAGCCAGATTCCCCACCTGTTCATGCCTACTACTTACTCGCATAATTCAGTTCACCTCCAACCAGCCTTGGTGTATGGTTTGGAAGTACATCTGCTGTTCCCTCTGATGACACAAAACTGAGTCACCAGGTTCACCACCAATCAGACCGGGAAGTTTGCAGACGACACCACGATGGTGGGCTTTATCAGTGACGACAAAGGCCAGGACTACAGAGGGGAGGTCGAGCAGCTGGTGGGCTGGTGCAGAGATAGCAGCCTGATCCTGAACATGGAGAAGAGGAGTTCCTCATCCACTTCAGGAAGAACCGGCCTAACCACGCTGCACTGCTCATCAACTGCTCAACTGTAGAGGTGGTCAACAGTACCAAATTCCTGGGGTGCACATCACAGACACCCTCACCTGGACTATGAACACCTCCTAACTTGTACTTATTGCAGAGGATGAGGAGAGCCCATCTACCCCCGCCCATCCTCACTATGTTCTACAGAAGCACCATAGAGAGTATTCTGACCAGCTAGTCTCACTGTATGCTGTGGAGGCTGCAGCTTCTCAAACTGGAAGAACGTGAGAAGAGTGGTGAGAACAGCAGATAGCATCTTCAGAGCTCTTTTCTCCATTAAAGTGCTGTGTGTCCTGAGCCCATAACATCATCAGCGACCCCTCACTCCCCCACCATGGACTGTTCTGCCTGCTGCCATCTAGGAAGAGGCTTCGCAGCATTCAATGCTGGACCAGCAGGGTCTACAACAGCTTTTTTCCTGTTTCCATTGGATTGTTGAACTGTTAAACTCTAATCTAGACTCAGCATCATGCATGCACAAACCTAAACTTTATGGCCGCTTTTTTTCACCATCATTTTTTGCACTACTAATGTTCATTGTGCCGCACATTTTTGTTTAATTTTTTTTTTTCCTTGCATTCATACAGCTTTACACTACTGCACTTTATATTGTAATGTTTTTTATTTCACCAACAATCTCATTCTTGTCATAAGCTGAATGCAACAGCATTTCAATAAAGTTTGTCTAAGTGAAGAAGGAGAAAGAATTACTTTTATAATGGAAATTATATTTACAGTGCAGAAAGATTTATTTTTACAGCAAGGAGGGTGTTAATTTGAACAAAAATAAATCATAACAAGTCATTGCAACCTATAGAGACTCATACACAAAGAAAGTGGCAACAATACAGGTTTAATGATGAATCTAAAAGTTCTTTGCGCTCGGACCTCGGCAGAAGACATGGAAGGAGATGGGGTGGAGGCGGGTCGAAGCTCAGCTGATGATCAGGAGAGTCCGTGGATGGAGTGCTTTAAGTAGAACCTTAAAGGATGATTGGCTGAAGAGGGATGAGGACTAGACGGTGACTGGCTGGAGCAGACATGCATGATGGCGGCCAACTGGTTAGGGCATAGAGCTTGGAATCCTGAGGTTGTTTTTTTTTTAAACCGACTCCCACAGACTATCTTTCTGCAAGACCCTTAACCCCCGATTGCTCCCCGGGCAGAGGTAAATTTCTCCAATAGGAGATCCATACATTTCAATTATATTATCATGAATAAAGGTGATGCTAGGGTGAGTTTTCCAGTTTTTAGTGTCTAAACATTAATTATTAAAAAAAAATCTTATAATTATAGCAAACACAGCTGAGCAGCATTTTTCATTTTTCAACTGGAATTTTTGAACATTTATCTTTGGTCAAGAGTTAGCCATATTTATGTTGGAATGCCTTTTTGCCATCACAGCTATCTGTAACCTGGGGCAAATGGAGGGCTCTGCTTCCTCAGGTATAAAAGTCGGAGGCAATTGTTCAGTGTTCTAACAAAAACAAAAAAAAAAAAATGAAGAAAAAAAAAACACCTCTTGGACACTGATAAATGTGTATCATCTCAACCCTTAAAAAATAAGATTTTTTAAAACTCAAACTAAAAATAGGTCTTAAAAGAATGCAACCGGTTTAGACCTTAGTTAAACTTCTGATGGAATAGGATACAAAACCAAAAAGAATAAACTTAACCTTAACACAACTAGTAGGGCTCCCATACTAAATAAATACTAAATTAAATATAACATGAAAATGCTTTTTTTATTATCAGCTGTAGATTTAAATTATTTCAAATGAATTTTTTATATACTGTAGCGCAAATTCACAACATGTCATCTCAAGGCACTTAACAATTCAACCAGATCGTACAGTTACATTGATTCAAAGTTTTCTATCTAAGGAAAACCAGTGGATTGCATCAACTCTTTGATTCAAAGGCAATCCCTCACACAAAGCATGCTTGTACAGAGGAAAACTCCCTTTTGACAGGAAGAAACCTCCAGTAGAAACAGGCTATGTGTGAGCGGCCATCTGCCGAGGCCGACTGTGGTTCATTTAATCTATGCAGATATTATTTTAATCTTCATCTCTCCTCCAGCGTGCCAATCTTCCTGTTCTTTGAAGAAAAAGCAAAGGTAACACCAACATACTGGGCAGGTTAAATAAAACTTCACATGTCATTGCAACACAGTCAGTTTTTGCTTGTACAAGATTAATGATCCAAATAACACTCCAAGCTAACCTTAAAATTAGAACAATCAGTATTGCTATGACTGTGTAAAATGCCCTCTTCTTTACCTGGTCAACTCTTTCCTCCCATGTGCCTTGCTCACCAGGCCTGGGGTGTTGTAAAACCCATATCACAGAAATGCAGCAATAAGGAGTTACAATTATGGTCAATAATATGAGAAAGGAGTCCATAATTATGTAATTATCCATAATGGCCAAACACATCCCTGTAACGCAAAACAGCCAAACAAAGCCCATGGTGATGTTTCTGATCCCTCTTTTTTTTCTATAAGTAAAGTGGGTGATTGGGTGGACAACAGCCAAGAAGTGCTCCACGCATGTTAGGTTCTGAAAAAATCCTTCTCCATACCAAGTGAAAGAGAAAAGGATGGTCCCGACTTTGACGGCTTTTAGTTCCCCGCTGTAGATTCCTATAAAGGAGATGCAACACCCAGTGACACCAACAAGCTCCATGATGACCATGTGGTAGGTGAAGCAGTCGGAGTTACTCATATCAGACGCAAAGGACTTTGGGCAGTTTTTTTGCCATTGTCGAAAGCCAAAGCAGAGTATGAAGATGAACAAAGGAAGACAGAACACAACGTTTATGGCAATAAACGTGGTATAAATGAAAGAGCTTGGTATGGTGATGAGGCATTGGCTGTAGGAGATGACAGGTGAATGTGGACCATAAAGGGAGTCATTGGATGAGGAGGAGTTTTCAAACATATCTGAGAGAAAAGAAAAAAAGAATATAATTTTGACAAGAGATGCAAATTCAAAGTCATACTACTGTATGCATATCTAACCTGTAGATTCCAACAAAAGGTTAATTTAACAATTTAGCTTAAACAGATCCAATTCCTGACAGCAAAAACATATACTTTTCCTCTGATGATTAAAGAAGATACTTTGGTGACTATATTAGCATTATCTAAACCTATCCCTTCTCAGATGTATGATCCTTTCCTAAAAGCTAAATTTATTGATAGAAAATTGAACGTGTATTTCTTAGTATTCAGCTTTTAAAGGTATAGAGGACAATCTTTTATTTCCTTGCGGATAACTTCAATAAGTGGTCCTCCAAATTGTCAATCATTCTGGGGAAATGATTACGTACTGTAAGGCTGTCCTACATGCTAGCCCCCAGTTAGCAATCTTTTTCTGCACATACGCACTTAAGGTGTATGAGTGTGGTGAGCGACGGTTTCAGACAGTCATTGAAGCTCATCTTTCACACCTCGGTTCTTTGGAAATGGCCAAGGCTCATAAAAGAAAAAGTGTCTATGAAATGTATGAGAAGAAGAGAAAGGCCTCTTAAGAGGCAGATATATCTTGAATGCTTTGCACGGAGAGCTTCCCGCACAAAGCATTCAGGATTTCCTGTCACAGTGACGCGCTATCACTGCCCGAAAGGGGCAACTAATTACAAAGATGATGCAGGCACCGCGCGGAGGAGGAGTTACATAACCAATGGGGAGCAAAAATTAGTGTTCATCTGTCAGAACGGTAGGTTAACTGAGTTCGCTATAAAGTCCACTATATAGTCCCTGCTCTATATAGAGACTGAAAGATTTAGGGGTTAGGACAGATGTTTGGACACAGTAAGTTTATATGAGCTCTGAAAACAGCAACTTTTAAACAGAGCGTGCATGAGAAGAAATGGGCTTTTGCACACTCTTGCACGCGTTTAATAGGCGTTCCCTCAAGGGAGTGGGTACAGTGTTGTGCATGTGCATTTTTTTTAAGTGGAGCAGGCATGTCTTTTAAAAAAATTGTGAAAATCCTCCAAAATATATTTAATTATCATCTTACAGCCCAAATACTTATAATACATATCAGTTACAGTATGGTGGCAAACAAGGCAAAAAATTGCCTTGTTTTAGTCTTGAATTTAGCTGTAGCATGCAATTTAAAGTAAAATCACAACAACTAGTTTTGAAAAGCTGTTAAGAAGAAACTAGGTAGTCAGTAGACTTGCATGCTGAGCATACATTTTATTTGCCAAATTAAAAATTTTAAGACATTTTTTGTTTTGTTGCATTATGTTTGATATTGCTGTCAATTTTCAATAACAAAAATGTATACATATCTTACATACGCAAACTAATTTATTGGTTTTTGATGAAAAAATCTCATTAAGCATTTGTTTTTTACTTTAACTGTATGTTTACATGTTTAGTTTTATACTATTCAAAACAAGCATTCCGGCCCTAAAATGTAAAGGTATACGTAAAACAACAAATGTCTCATATAAAATCTGCATCAGCAAATATTTAGAGCATTCTCCCGTGCTATGTTAGATATTCCATTACATTATTTTTATATTGTTCCTGATCATTTAAAGCACTTGATGTATTGAGTGAAAAACTAATAATGGCAATAGAAAATAAAATCATTTGTTTTGTCATAGTATAACACAGCAACAGATTTAAATATTTGAAATGTCAAAGTGTCAATGCCTAACTTAATGTGTGACATTTGTTTTTTGAGTCAAATAAAAAACATGTTTTCCTTAGATTCAAATATGAAGAAATTAATCACACTTTGTGTACCTCCAGTAATAACTCTGATATTTGATATCTGTGGTGCTTACAATGTTCCCTGTTTTGTATACTGCTTATGTATTAAAATGAAAGGCGTACATTTTACACTTTATTGCGTAACGATGAAAAAGGTTATAATTCATCGTTCTGTTGGCAATGGCACCAACATCTCATACTTAGTTTTCTAGTTCAAATTTTCATCTCTAAATCAAGCTTTAAGCCATTATAACAGTCCAGGGCCAATAAGTGCCCCAAGTGGTGCATTTGTCATCCTTATCTAATGCTAATAAAAAAAACAATTCAGCCTGCGTTTTAATGCCAAGTAGCTCCATGCTTGCAGCTTGTCAAGGAAAATCCCTCATCCTTTTAGACACAGCGTTTTTTACTAACTGAAATCAATAACTGCATTAACATAGGTATTATCATTGGTGTATTACTTCATCCAATATAATTAGATACATTTTCATGAGTAAAGACTTTAATATTAGTTTATACATAAGGCCTTTCACCTGTTTGGAAAGCACTATGACAGTCTGCCATCATGAAGGTAAAGACGTCGGCGATAAAATAGTACTAAGATGCAGCATAACAATGCGTTACCCCTTGCAGGCTGTTTAGTGTGACTGAGATGTGGTAGGGATGATCATTTGATGAATCTAATCCAACAACTGAATTTCTCCACTACTGCAGGGCAATGCAGGTCAATGCATATTCAGCCGCAGCTCAAGAAACGGTTTCACCATGCCCTAGAAAGCGAAAAAGAGAACCTAATAGACGAAACCGGATATCTTAAAAAAAGATAAAAATTGGGCAAGCCTTCGGGTGCAGGGATCGAAAGGGAAAAGACTATAAAGGGACACTAAAGTTTAATTATTTTTCCTTGAAAAGTAAGTGAACTTTATTTTCTTAATTAGTGTAAAGCTAAATATTTCCATACGGTTTAATTAGACAGTGTTGTTTGATACCATAGAAAGCCTAAATATAAATATATATGCAAACATTTTGCTAATCTTGTTTATACAAAACTGTACATTTGTTTGGGTTTAAAAGCTTTCAATGCCAGCTTGTATAGACTTTGTTGAAGATTTTCGACCCATGGAGGTTACCACTGGAGCAATACATGTTTGAGGCAGTGTCATGCTTACTCTTAGTTTCAGTGAAATACTCCAATTTCACCACTAGATGACAGTAATTCTTACTAAATATGACTGTTAATTTCACAGTTTGGGTATTTTTCAGTTTCACTTGTGTCACAAATGACTATCATCAGCTTATTCTTTAAAGATTCTTAGTCTTGTGTTCTGTCATTTAGATATTTTATTAAGGATTTGGGCTATGATTTATTCGGTAGTCTTTACTGTAAAGATTCCTGACTGTTCCTGACTATGAAGCTGCTGTGTGCCGTCCCATAAGGTTAATCCCTGCTCCCTCTGCTGCACTCTCAATCAGGTCTGAGTTGTTACACCAGTGACAGTTACTGGGGGTTGCTGCACCTGAAAGAAGCACAATATATACCTGGCCTTCGCAGTGGGTAACCGCCAGATGATATATGTTTGTGTGAGTGGACCATTTAACAATCATTGTATTGATCTCCTGGACTCAACTAGTTTTTTTTCTTGTTTTCTTTTCGTCTTACCTCAGGACCAGGGTTTCCGCTTTCTAGCTGGTTTTGTCAGTGTATGACCCAATTACCTTGCAAGCAAGATGAATTTTCGTGACATGTGGGACATAACAAACTCCCGAAAATACATCTAGCCAGGAGTCAGCAGATGCGTTAGCCATGATATAGAAACATTTCGGATCAATGAAATTCAGTGATGTGAAAAATGTCAACGCGTCAACCACAGACGAAAGGCAAAAGAAAAAAAACATGGCTGCACCCTTTTTAGTTGGAATAGCCTCTATTTCCCTTTTGAAAAACTAGCAAAAAGGATGTGATTTTTCCTTTGTTGATGATGTTTTCTTATTTCCCCCTGACCATATTTGATAAGTTTAATTAAGCATTTAACTCTGCTAGTTGTAAAGAAGAACAAACTGCTGCTGTGACTTCCCCAATAGCCTTTACCCAGTCTAAACCCGACAAGATTTGCATCAGTCAATTAGTGATCCAATCATCCAAATGGAGCCACTGATCAATAATCAGAGCCAGCACAACTTCCAATTCTTCTGAGGTTGGTGGTTCAGTGCACCTTCAACACCTCTGAGTTATTCTCAGCCATTAACTCTGTTCTCTTCCACCAAATGATTTCAGTTCTACTAAGTTCCTGTTCCTGCAATACAGTTTATTTTTAAAAGAAGTCTTTGAACGCTTCATACTTGTGTCAACTAAATTATCGGGTCTCCAGATTATGTCCAGGCATTGCACTTTGGTTTCTTATATTCGGTTCCTGATTTGTTATCTATTGTTTATTCTGTTTACTTCCCTTTATTTTGTTATTCTTGTTTTGTAGTTTATTTATTAATTTATTAATCCTTGTTTTATAGTTTATACTAGGGCTAAGACAATTATTCTGAATAATCATGACTAATTGCCATTTGCTAAAATAATAGGAAACTAAATGCAAATATTAACCCAAAACTGCACAAAATTTAGATGCACATTATATTAAAGATGTAAAAGAAATCAAACAGTAAATTAATCCTATTCCAAACTCCTTAAGTGGTATAGTTTTAGCTTCAGCTTCAAATTTGGTGAAACGCAGTTCAATAAGGAATCTTTTTTTAATTGGTTATTCAAGGGAGTAAACAGTAATAACCAAATAATTGTTAGTTGCCTTATATTATATATATAAAGCAACTAAGAAAATATTCTCTTTCTTAGCTTCTATGTTCCCTGTTCCTTAATAATTATTTCTTTTTGATATTCACTTTCTTTCACTGTCATCTGAGAAGCATTTTAGCAATCACTTTTCCAGTAATTATGCAATGCAAGCAGAGGAAAACCTCAGGCTTTTCTTAGACTTTTTAGAGTTTAAATAGACTTAGTGTTCAAACAAACAGGCTGGCATCAGCAGTTTCTGTTTTGTTTGTTTTTGTTCTTTTATTTCAAGAGTGAAAGATTAACTGCATCTGCTGAGGAATCACAATTAAACAGGAAATATCAATAGGATAATGCTGACTGTATTTTTTTTTTTTGCATAAAGCTGACTTACAATTTTAAATACTTGCAGAATTTTTTTTTTAGAAATGTAAAACCTATTTTTACTGATATATGTTTCACATCAAGGACTTAGGGAGCATTATGCTTTCAGTTAAAAGAATTAAAAAACAAGAAGTTTAGTTTTACAAAGATTGTTATACCTGGCAAATACATCTATAGCTTGTTCAGTGGCAGCTTAAGTCCAAATTCATAGGTAGACAGTAATTTTCATTTATCAATGGTGGCACAGAACGAATAAAGACTAAAGAACAGGCTGATAGTTAGTTGTTTAAGCTTAAGAGCCAAGGAGCATGCAGCTCTGGAGCTACAGATCACACACCCCTGTGCTCCGATATCAGCACACCTAAGACTAAAATTGTCACACTTAAGTTAGTGTTTCTGTGCCGGCACATACGTACCATCAGTAGCACTTGTTATAGTGTTTTATCTTTAGTACAAGGGCCCAAACAGTGGCCACAACCAGCTCTACAGGGGCTCTGGTCCCTGTTATCCCCTTCCCTGAACTGTCCATAAGCTTATTAAGTTGTAAGAAATAGCATTATATGTGGTCACTGTAAGAAACCATACAGAAAAAAACACTATACAGTAAAAATCATAGAGTTAAAGTTAATTTATTCCCTTGTCAAAGCAATACCTTTAAATACTCGGCCAGAATTACTTATGTTACATATATTTTCAAAATAAACTTATTTAATAGCTTTCTTGAAAGAAGATGCTTAAAAAAATGAAGTGTTTTACCTTCATATGACCTCATTCTTTTCATCGGAAGAGAAAAGCAAATAATTGCCTTTGATGAATGCAGAAACCTCCAACTTAGACTGTAAGCAGGGGGCTGTAGACTAAACAGTCTACAGTACACAGTCTGCACAGAACCAAATAAAGACATAGTGTCATGATTGGTTAAACTTAACTTTTCAACTTGCAGAGATGAGATGTGATAAAGACCATGTGTCTAACAAAACTATTTTTAAAAAACACTTCCTCTTCCTCAGAATCAATGATGAAAAAAGGGAAGGGTTACCAAGAAGTGTTAAAACTCAGATGCAAAGTTTTAACTAAGTGTATGATCTTAGCTGTAGTTAAGAAAAAATATGATTACAAATGATATACAGTTTAAGCTATAAACTGATTTCCCTTTAAAGCTGATTTCCCATGTTTGTCTGGACATAAAGCACATTGGGATCTTAGCCTTGGTTGGTAATGACATACTAATTATTTCTTCTCATCAGTCACAGAGAAACCACATACTAAGTTGCAGGCAGAATAAAAACATTCTTGAGAAAAACAATTTTTCAATGGTCAATAAAACAGCATTGGAAAAAGTGCAGTTGATGTGCTGTGATAATGCTGTTTCTGATTAAACAGCATTATTTACGTTTAATATTTCAAATTTTAGAAAACTTACAATAAATCCAACATACTTGGGAGACAAAAAAACAAAACAAAAATATGCCATTCCCATGTAACTTTTAACACAAACTGTAATTTGTCAGTATGATTAAAAACAAATATAAACCTGATAGGTTGTAGTGGTAACTTTTGAGATTTTCTTGTCTCCTTTCTTATCAATTTGGTTGGTTCTTCATCTTGAAGTGCTATGAATCAATGGGGCTAAAGTGTTTACATAATGTGTGTTTAAAGTGGAACAACCACTTCATCAATTTCAGCGGTTCCGTATTCTCACTTGATCGCAACATTGTTGATTTTCTTTGCTCTTTGAAAGAGTCTGCAGGTTCTTTGCACCATGTCTATGTCCTTTTCTGTCTATTCACCTCCTCTTGTTGCAAGTCTGCTGCTGTAACATTGTAAGTTTGATTTACAGTATCAAGATCAGTTTACTCACCATGCACCATCTGGATTTCATGTCAGCAATTTGGTCCTCCCAACAGCTTTACTAACATAACATTAGGCCCCTGCAAACCTATTTCTTAGGATTACAGACAATATTTAAAAAATGCATCTCATAGCATACTTCTGTATTTCTGTTCCAGTAAACATTAGTGGGTATTTATTCCGAGAGTTCTTTGTATAACTGAATATAACTAAAACATTCAGCCCAAGAATAATTTAACTTGGAGAGACGTACACAGAGAAAAAAATATCAGTTAATAAGGTTATATTGACATGGATTAAATAAGTTAATTTGTGCTCAGGCCACAGCAGAAGACTTCGATAGTGTGAACCGCTTTTTACTTGGATAAGTACCCTAGGAAAAGGATTAATTCAGTTAAATCAGTTTATTTATTTGGCAAGAATTCAAACCACCTGACACTTTATAGAGACGATTCAACCAGATCATACAGTCCAGCAGGTTCAAAATGTTCTATATAAAGAAAACCAGCTGATTGCCTCATCCCTCACACTAAGCATGCTTGTACAGTGGTGAGGAAAAACTCCCTTTTAACAGGAAGAAACCTCCAGCAGAACCAGGCTCAGTGTGAGCGGCCATCTGCAGAGGCCGACTGGGGTTCAAGGAGACAGAAGCAGACATAGAGAAAGAAGCAAAGATACAAAGGGCAACGGAGAACCAGCTCCACAGACACACATCAATGATGGACACAGCCAGGCGAGCTCTGAGCCAGCTCCCATGTCAGAGCATGAAACAGAGCACATACAATTAGTCACAATCAGGGAAAAACGAATGCAGTGAAAAATAGATCAAGCTCCAACATCTAGAAGCAAGTGCTGCTGCTATCAACACAAGAAGTGTTGATAGCAGCAGCAAGGCTAGTATTTCTCTCCAAAATGTTGTCACCACCAAACAAGAACAGACCAGATTAAGCTAGTATTAGAAAAAGCAGAGAGAGAGCATAATATTAGAGATTGAAGTACCAAATACTCCAGAATGGTAGAATAGAGATAGAATAAAAGAAAATTATAAAAAGGGGTCCCTACAGTAGTCCAGTCTCCTGCAGTCTAAGCCTATAGCAGCATAACTATAGAATTATCTCACGATAACCTGAGCCACTATAACTATAAGCTTTATCAAAAAGCAAAGTTTTAAGCCTACCCTTAAAAGTAGACAGGGTGTCTGCTTCATGGACTAAAACTGGTAGTTAGTTCTACAGGAGAAGAGCCTGATAACTAAAAGATCTGCCTCCCATTCTACTTTTAGAAATTAGAGTAGTCTTTCCCAGAGACTGGTGGTGGAAAGAGCCAGAAGATGAATGGGAAAAAGAATAGTTTGAAAGTGAGGGGGGAGATGGGGCGGAGGCGGGGCAGTTCGCCAGCGTGCAGGAGGGAAGCTAGGCCAGGACATCGCAGGATGTCCAGTTGAGTCTTCCAGATTGAATTTTCTCTAAAGCTTCATTTGTCAGAATGACATTATTTGTTTTGATCAGAAACAAACCTTAGGTTCTTTCAGAAACACATTTTTGATGTTTAAATTATTCTAATATCTTATGTACAAAATCAGTATATATATTCCCATTCTAATAAATACATGTTTTATTGGATAAATCAAAAATGTTTACCTCTACTGCAAACACAGCTAAAGATAACATTTTAAAAATAAAGAAATAAAACATTATTAAAAAAAAACATTAATATAAGGCAATATTATATATGGCTCATGTAGCACTTTATTGACCTTTTTATATTGGAAGATTGTCTATGCATATGCAACTGTATAATCAAGCTGAGTCCAAACTGTGTACCTTTTAAGTTATCAATCCTTATCATAGATACATTTGAAATATTGAATAAATCTAATCTAATCTTAAAGTTTTATACAACCATTAATCGCTCCATTGGTTGTTTTGTTCCTCTTTATACAGTACAATTTAAATGAAACTCTAATATTGTTCATATTGCAGGTATTTAGAGGTGTACTGATATTAACTACTGACACAATTTACATAGATTTTAGTGAACAAGGATGAGCCAAGGGTATTAACTTACTGAGTATGGATTATTTTTAGATAATCTTTATTTAATTTGGTCAAAAACATGCTTGAGCCCACTGCCAACTGGTCTACATAATCTTCGTTTTTGCTTGCATGCCAACGAATACTGTAAAATCATTTGAGGAGGAAGTTTTCTAAAAAACGATCTACAGCCCACACAACTGCACACAACATCAAATTAAGAGAGAGTCTTGAGCAGCTTAAAGTAGGCTGATTACTTTAAAGAGAAATGATCTCCGAATTTGGTCATAAGGACAATAATTACACTGCATGAATACAGTAGTTGGTTATGTGGTTGTAGAAAAAAAGCTGTGACTTAGTGTGCATGTGTTTGACTATATGCTTTATGTCACTTTACACTGCAGTGTTTACCCACATAATACCCCATTTCCTTCCTATATACAGCCTTTACAGACACTCTTTTTTATACGTTTACTAACAAATGTCACAATAAGAACAATCTCACTACCAAGGATAAAGCTCTCTGTTGCAGTTCAAATAAACATTTAGATAAATAAAAAGTTGTAAAAACATACAAAGACACCTTTAAAAATTATAATTTCTACTGCTCAGCATTCACTATGTATTTTGTGCAGACTTTATGGACTTTGTTTCAGTGCTTAATGCAGTGGATTTCTCTTTCTCTCATTCAAAGTTATTTTTTACCTTCATTTCCAAATCTGGTTTGGAAAGCTATGGTAGTTAGACAACTTTTGTGGAAACTTAGTACCTCACAGTTTTTTTACTAAGTAAGTTAGAATATCTAAGTTTGGAGTACTGACATGTTTAATGATGTAAAAGCTGTATTTCATACTTAATTAAACAATGTGAGTATTCTGAACTTAGTCAGGTTTACAGTGATGGCTGCTTTGAAAAATATCACATAACGTCAGATTGTAATACTAGTCAAAATACATAACCTGTCGAAATATATTTTAGGTTTCTTTAGTGAAACAGGTTTTAAAAGGGACATACATAACAATAGTCACCTTAGTAAATGTTCAGAATTAACAATGGTTGGGCATATAATAAATATTTACACAATTATTTTGCCTGGATCAATGCATTATCTTTTACAGTCTTCATTATAAAGTTAAGTTCTCTTTCAATCAACAAGACCATCTTGACTAAAGCTCTAATTTTTGTTTTTAACAGACACTATAATATATCACCTCAGGTTCATCCTCAGTCTTCCACGCCATGTGGCTGATGAGCAAAATGCTTCTGGTATTTCCCTTGTTAAATATGGAAGTTAGGTCCCCCTTAAGGCAGCTGCGGCTCGGAACTTCCCTACCTGTTCTTTACCTGGGAGCAAGTTATTTACTACTCTTAACTCAAACTGGGTACAACTATATAAAAAGGACTATAAAACAGGAGTAAAAGGATAAACCTGACACCCTGTTCTGAAGACCTTCTGCTCTAACCAAGGCTAAAGCATGGCCCCTGCTCCCTCACCAGTTTGCAAAACAAAATAAAGTGCATGTTTTACAGTTTTATTGTTGATGACAACACATACATGTACACCCCTCCACACACACAAACATACACACACGAGCTTGTCTCACTATCTTTGCGAGGGCCTTTCCATTGACTCCATTAATTTCTGGAGCCTAACCGTGACACTAGTACTGCACCTAACCATTACAGGTTGGACCCCAAAAAATTAAAAGCAAGAGCACAC